TTGAAACATTTCGGTCCAAGATACAGGTACGCTCGCTGCATGATATTCTTTTCAGGTTTGATGAGGAAAAAATTATTTGCGTTTCTATACCTAGTGTTGTGGTGGTGGTGTTCTATGGCTAGGAGCTCATATTTTCTAGAGTGTTGATAAATGGTAACCTTTAGGAAATACAGTTGACGTGTATCTAACATTTTGGAAATTTTGAGAAGTTCTTCTATTGGGTATCTTTTGGGTTTTCGGTAGATGGTTTTTAATATATATTTTTGGGTAGTTTCGAGTGCTGATATATGAGTTCTCAAAGCTGCACCCCATGCTATAATACCGTAGGTTAAATGGCTTTCTATTAGTGTGGAGTATATTATACGCATTTGTTCGGTGTTATAAATGGAGGTAAGAATCCGCATTTTATATAATATAGTTCTTAATTTTTTTATATGAACATCCCATTTTAGGTTGTTATCAATATTTACTCCAAGATATTTGATGTTTGTAACCAAGGATATAGTGATTGTCTGTTCTTTTTTTTTGGTATGATCAATGTATTGTAGTTAGGTAGGTATTTTGTGTAGGAAGTAAAGGGTATATAGTGAGTCTTTTTCACATTTATCGTTGAGAGTCTGATATCGAACCATTCTATAATTTTAGGAAGGTCATTTTCTGCAATTTTAAATTTTGCCAGATATCGGCTTTGTATATTACTGCCGTATCATCTACAAAGCTCACTATGTCACCTTCAAATCCTGCTTTGAATATATCATTTAGATAAACACTAAATAGTATTGGTCTTAATACGGTTCCTTGGGGAACTCCATATATCATTGTTCTGAATTTACTGTTGTCACCAATTTTGACGCATTGTTGCCTGTTTTCAAGATGGCTTTTAACTAGTGAGTATGGTGTTCCTCCTGTACCGTATCCTTCCAAAACTTCGAGAAGTTGACTGTGACTAACTGTATCGAACGCCTTTTCCAGGTCGACGAAAATACAAAGGGTGGGTGTTTTTTTGTCAATACTCCCAACTATTTTATTTAGCACTATTGGTAGTGCATCTTGCGTAGACTTTCCCTGCCGAAATCCATATTGTTCATGAGAAAGAATATTATTTTTTTCAAAGAAATCAACTATCCGTTTTTTCAGGGCTTTCTCAAAAATTATAGCTGAGGTTGATATTAAGGAACTGGGACGATAGGATATTTAACTTCTCTCCATTTTTGTGAATTGGACTAACAACTGATTTTTTAAAGGCTGTTGGACAATACCCTTCTTTGAAGACTTATTGATTAGATATGTTATTGGAGTAGTTATTTCATTAATAATAATTTTCAGGTGTTCTGCCCTCAGTTTATCTAGTCCTGGTGACTTTCTCTTTTTCAATGAGATAATTAAATTGTATACTTCAACTTCATTTACATCTTGCAGAAACAGTGAATGGACGAGGTTTATGTTCGTTTTAAAGAAGGGTGTTGTATCTTTTTTTATATTATTTGCTAGCCTTCCTCCTACAGATATGAAATAATCATTGAATAATTCAATGATTTCTTTTTTGTCATTTGTTATACACCCATTGTTCAGTTTTATTTTTGCTATAGTTTTGTCTTGTGTTTTTTTATTTGTCAATTCATTTACTGATTTCCATAGTTTCGATGCATCCGTTTTGTTACTGTTCAATTATTTTTGGTAATAGCCTTTTTTGCTTTTTTTACAAGTTTTCCGAAAATATTTTTGTATTGATTATATATTTTTTTAATTTCCAGATTATTATCATTTTTCATGTTTCTATAAAGTTTCTCTTCGTTTTTTACTGCTTTCAATAGACCATTTGTTATTCAAGGATTCCTTTTGAATTGTCCTTTTTTAATTCTCACTCAATTCGTACTTCTACCTATCATATTTTCGATTTTATGTACGAATATATTTGTTGCTTTTTCGAAATTTTTGACATCGTACACTTCGATCCAAGTTTCTTCTTGTGCAAAATTTAGTAATTTTTCATTATCAACAAAATATTTATGTGTCTCATGATTATTATATTGTTTTTGTTTTTCAGATATAATTTTTTATTATCAACAAAATATTTATATGTCTCATGATTATTATATTGTTTTTGTTTTTCAGATATTATTTGTAGTATTATTGAGATATAATATCAAAATCGTGTTTTATTGTTTCTAATAACATTTTTATCGAATTTAGATTTTTGAATTGGCTAATAAGAAGGCCTAATTTTCCTAGAAAATCTAAATTGAACAAAGGAAAGCAATTTTACGAATTGTGGGATATCAAACCGAAATATCGCACACATTTGGAGCATAAACAACCCCAGGCGATAAATTCGACCTCAAATGCGATTTAGTATTAACGTGTGGGCAGAAATTTACAAAGATAGAATTTATTAGACGGAATTTTGAATGGAGAAACCTATCACCAGTTCTTGTCGATTCTCGAAGACTATTTGGATGATCTACCTTTGGATAACTATAACACCATCTGATTTCAACATGATGGTGTTCCACCGCACACTACCAGACGAGTATCTAGTTACCCGACTGAAAGGTTTGGTGATGAATGGATAGGGAATAATGGGCCGGAGAGGTGGCCAGCAAGGTCTCCAGACTTAAGTATTATGGATAAATTTTTAAGGGCTACACGGAAAAATAGGAGTTAATGGTCAGAGGGAATATCAAAATATTGAGGACCTTCAAGATAGCACTGTTAGGGAGTTGGGAAGATTGAGGAGGAGGGAAATTAATCGTACAGTGAATAATATTCGAAGAAGGGCACAGCTGTTTTATCATGAACAAGATCAGCATTTTGAGCATTTGTTGTGATTTACTTTTGTCTTTACATTTCACTTAATTATTGTTACTTGTTCAAAGTTCTATTTTCATAATAATTCACCTCATACACACCTCATTTATCAAATTTTGATTGTTGATTCTGTCGCCGTATTTTTTCATTGGCTTTTCAAACGAACCAAACTTGGTGAGATTTTTATCCAATAACTTGAACATAGTTCGATGTGGTTGTCGTCTTTCAGGATATAAGTTTAAATACATTTCCGATGTCCTAACATTGTTTCTATCGTATTTGTATTAAATTTGTATCATATCTCTTTTGTCTTCATTCGTGTAAGCCATTTTTCGCCAAAAATTCAATGACTTTTACAATAACAAACTGTCATTGAGTGTAACAAATTGAAAGTCAAATTTAGAAACATCAAAGTCACAGCCTATTATGATAAGAATTGATTTTTTCATTATTTCCAAGTTTTCGAGAAAGAATGATAACTTATGATACACCTTTGAAAAGGTTCTATTCGAAACAGAAAGAATCCAATGTAGCGCCTTATAAGAAAAAATGAAGTTGAAGATGGTGACCGGAAGACGAAACGTTCGATACCAAATCTGATAACACTATTATATAGCAGGGAAATAGGGGCAATGTGGAAGTGCAATTTATTTTCGAATCCCTTGAAAAATAAAGCCACACAAAAATAAAAACCATTTTCCGCAAAATGCGCAACTTTGACCCAACTTAACCATGTCCGTATCTCTCATAGTTTCCGAGATCCTAATGGTGAGGATCGAATTTGAAATATCCTGTAGAATAAGTGTTCTATATTTCTGAATGTTGATATATGGAATTCTATTTTTCAGTTTTGTATAATTGGATTCATTCAATTCCAACCAATTACTGAGTTACATCATATATGAATTAACTACCGCTTCGTTTGAAGGTGATTGACAATGTTTCGTGATGAATTTCACTAGTTCGGACTTCCATTGTCTGCTATATAAAATGATTTGAAATCCCTGAAACAAGTAAAAAAGAATAATTAAAAAAGAATAGTTGAAAATAACAATTATATTAAGCAACAATAAACCTACCGCTTCCTTATATTTTCCGACAAAAATGATCGGTTATAGTCAGCCTCCATCTGAAATAGTTCTCGATTCTAAAAATAAAACGTAGAATTTGGCATTCAGGAACCTGATTATTTGACCTGGAAAATACATTTTGAGTTATATCAAATCACGGTGTTATACAGTGAAATATGTTTTACAAAGCTTTCTTTTTGTTGTGCTTGGTGTCCTTGATTCGCCAATGTAAGTCATCATTACTCATTACTATTCTCTTACAAACATTATTTTGTGGTAACATTATTAGAAATCAATATTTATTCAACTTTTTTGAGAAATTTGATAGTGAAATAGACTCAGCAACATGGAAATTGGAAACTTTTATGATCCCTGATGAATATACCACAATATTTTGATTTGTTTTTGTTATTTTTACAAATTTGACAAAAAATGAATACTGTTGAGCAAAACTCCATTATTCTAATTTCCAATGAGAAATGTCTTTCAAATTCAAATATTCTACATAAAAAAAGGAAAATCTCAGCAATATTGAAGCTATTGTTTCACCCTTACTTCAATGTTACAAGGAGGCTTTACTTATATTGAGGCTCACTTTCACTTCATTTCATTCTAAAACTTAATTAGTCACGTTACTTGAAGAATATTGCAGAAAACAGCATTAAAGATGCGTTTCAGCGAAAGGGGGCGTGACGTCATCAGATATACGATTTGCATAGACGCTTAGGAATCAACATTAGTTTCAGACGTTTCTGTGTCAGCAATGTGAGAGTTCGATTATTTTTTGGTTGTCGGTATTCACCTGTTTAAATTGTGGAAGTATAAAACAAACGTAAGTCCCAAAAACGTATTCTATATACATTTACTTACAAATCGTTTGTTCGTAAATGTTTTAAATGTCTTGCTAAAGCTATGTAAAGAAAGTGGTTCGTTTTTGTTGCTAGAATCATTTTTTATTGATGTATGGTAATCATAATGAAATTACAATAAAATAAAATACAAGCAACAATTGAAAACTGAACAATGAAGAAGTAATGAAAATTGAAAGATTTCAAACCAAGTTATTTCACGATGTTTTGATTGATAATATTCATAATCTGCAAGTGGTGACTGAGATCATCACAGGAAGAGATCATCCACAGGGAAGAACATTGGTTTAGGGGGTCATTCAAAGAAGCCGTATATATGTTGTCCAAGAAAGCATTCTACGCTAGCCAAGCTAACGTAGAAATACGCAATATATGGAAGCTCATAATCAAGCGGGAAATAGCCAACTCCCGCCAAACGGTCAGCTCTCGCTAAACCGGGGAGGGGGAAGAGGGGGATAGGTGAAAGCGGTTGAATGGCCTATAAATAGTCATCTATCGTGGTAGAATAACTAATCTTGAAATCTTTTAATTATTATTTTTCTTTTATAATTCAATTTTAAATTATTGCTTGTATTTTATTTTACTGCAATATCATTTCAGGTTTTTTTTGCTCAATATAATTGTTATTTTCAGCTATTCATTTTGATTTTATCGATAAATTCAGAGATTCCAAATCAGTTTCGACAATGGAAGTCCGAAATAATGAAATTCACCTATTTAGGTGTTTATTTGGAGTATACTCACCAGTATTTACTTGCACGTAAATATTTGTTTTATCCACTTCAATTTCTGCATTTACTTTTCAACTAGTTTTAATTCGTTCTACTTGTTTTTATTCACCCGGCCCAATGTATCTACTATCGATTAACTTTTAACTTCAGTATTTTGAATTTAAATGATTATACTTGAATTTGATAATATATCCGAAATACTTGTTCATGAGCAGAAAGAAGCAGAGTATTTTTGCAAACCTATGTGTCAAACGTTTCTAAGTAGATACTTTTTTTTTATATAGACCGATGAAAATATTTTTATTTGTATAACATCTCTGGTATGCGGCGTACTTATGTATATTATGGAAAGCAAAGCTTTTGTTATATCTCAGAAATTGCAATTCTTAGGAGCACAAAAAGAAGAAATTTATTCTTATATTATATATGTTGAAGAACACATATTTGCGAAACTTGACCTCAACAAGGAATAGTTGCAATGCACCCAAACATTATAATAATAAACTATCCTATGAATTTCGATCTTATACAACTAAAAACCTACCTAACTGTCTAGTCTTCTGTTCTTCCCTAACTTTGGCAATAGAAATTTTCTACAGCGGTTGCATCAACTAATTTCTAGATATTGTAATCACAGTAACACTGTTAACTCGACATTTTCTGTTATTGTAATTTAATCATTGTTATTCCCCAGCATTGGCTGATACTCCTCCCATTTATCTTTATACTAAAATATATTTTATTGTATTTCTTATTGCAGATTTCATGGTGAATATAGACGTTTTATCATATGTTTTTGTTCAAATCTAAGTTTGCGTTGGTCAGGGCCTATTTCCGAAGCCCTGATACATTCATAAGGGCGTCTTAGCATCAAAAATCAACGAGCACATCCCATACCGTGGGGTTAGTGATCATTGGGTCCGAAAATCATGTGCCCTGAGTAAGCGCAGTGAGTCAAGAATGACAGCCTTCTGCATTTGTCCGGTTGATATTTATCACCATTAGTGCGGCAAGCCAGCATTATTTTGAGATTCGAGTGGCAAAGACAGTTCAAAGAGAAAATTTTGATATTTTATCCGACCACATATAATGATCTCAGACGCCTCATGGCAGGCCCTACACGGCAGGCTCTACCCTACACGCGACTGCGGTGGTCTAAATTATTGAAGACAGGCCTGGCAGGTCATGATGAACCTCTCAGTTTCTGACTCCAGTCCGCTCGATATGAGAAAAACGAAGTTCAGGCGCTTTGATAAGCCAATGTTGTTGAATAAAATCCCATGCATTGGCTTATCCTTGTGTTGCCGCAGGACTGAAGCGATTTCTGCGGCTTTTATATGACCCTTTTGCTGAAAGGGTTCCAACTCGGTGACAGAGTTGAGATCACTTCGTTTATTGTCGGAAACTAGACGAGTTCACTAGCTGCTTTTAAACTACCCTGAAGAATGATGCTCCAATTTCTGCTCTCTCATGGTCGCAGACCATGCAGATAAAGAGATCCTAGCTCCTGACGACTTTACTATCCTTTATCTTTACCATCCCATGTAGACACTTCAAACTCAAAAGTTCACGGCCTCCCTCTTGTGGGAGGAAGTACAACCGTAAAACGAACGATTTGGGATGCAAACTCGTAAGGAAGTGCATCAGTTTTCAGTTTTCGGCTTTTTACGTCGAGTTGATACAGCTTCTCCTGAGTCAACTTCAGTACTCCAAACGGGTAGAGTAAGATTGGAACGGCAAGCATATTCGTAGCAGCAATTTTGTTTTTCACCGACAGTTTCGATGACCAGATATATCGTAGTTTTTGCTGATACTTGCCTCGGAGAGAGTTCTTAACTGCTGTTACCTCTTGTAAGTGGCATTGTTTCACCCCCAGCAACCGAGTTCCACTCTGGCATCCAGATAATGCAGGATGCTTCCACCTACGATCTGCACATCCTCATTGTAGTCCCGCATCGTCCGAGTTGGACCGTTGCACATTTGTCTATCCCAAATTCCATACCGATAGCATGTGTGTACTCTTCCGCCACCGTCAAGAACTGATGTAGATATTTCTTTCCAGAGGCGAGAAGTTCAAAATCATACATATAAAACAACTGTGTGATCTTGTGCCACCGGTTTCTGGGCGTGTCACAGTTATACTCTCGAGTATTTCTGAGCGCAACGGATAATATCAATGATGAGATACAGAAGAGAAGGGAACTGAGGAAATCGTCCTGAAATATACTCCTTCTGAAAGTGACCCACCCTGTTTCAACTCTAGCTTGTCCAGATGTTATGGTGAAGCGTGTTCGCCAGAGTGGTATCAGTTGCTCAAAGCATCTTACTATTTTGGCGCGTTCCGCAAGACATCTGAGCAAATGCATCTGAGCAAAAACATATTATTATAATTTTTTTTTCACCGTAGCGTGCGCTGGTCCGGCCCTATCTCCCGAAGCCCCGATACATTTGGGAGGGCACACCAGCATTATCAACAAATGATCACTCCCCACACCGTGGGGTAAGAGATCATTGGGTATGAGAATCATGTGCCCTGAGCAAGCGCAGTGAGCCAAGAATGACAGCCTTCTGCATCTGTGCGGCTGAGATTTCTGCCTCAGTGCGGCAAGCTGGTACGATTTTAAGATTCGAGAGTGGAGAGGGCATCATTCCACCAATGACTCCAATAATCAGAACAACCATCGTGACAGAGTGATCTGGATAGAGTCTCGGAGTTCGAAGAAAAAATCTCGATGTTTTATTGGTTTTTCCTCCTCTTTTCTGTCTCGTCAGGAGCTGAAAACTCCACGACAAATATCGTTCTGTTCTGGTGGTCGAGAAGGACTACATCAGGCTTATTAGCTTGTATGAGCCTGAGGGAGTGAAACGAGCAGTTCCAATAAATTTGTCACTTCTCGTTCTCCACAACGGATTCAATATCCCCCGGAGCGTAGGGCAACACCAGTGTCTCGTCAATACTGCAAGAATGCCGTAGATGGTAATATAGCACTCTTATGGCCGCGTTATGTCGATGGATATAGGCCGAGACCGCATATGCTGGACATGCTGATAGCAAGTGCATTAAGGTTTCGGGCGCCTCGCGACAGGCCCTGCACCTTGTGTCAGGATCCTCTATACCCTTCACGCGACTGCGGTAGACTAAGGTGTTGATGACACCATCCTGGCAAGTCATGATGAACCCCTCAGTTTTCGACTTTAGCCCACTCGACCTGAGAAAAGCGAACGTCAGGCGCTTTGATAAGCCAAGGTCTTCAATCTTATTGAAGAAAACCCCATGCATTGGCTTATCCTTGTGTTTCTGCAGAAGTAAGGTGATCTCTGTGGCTTGTATCTGAGCTTTTTGCTGAACGGGTTCCAACTTGGTGACAGAGTTGTGGTCACCTCGTTCAGTGTCGAAAACTAAACCGAGTTCATCAGCTGCTCGGGCAGCTGCCCTACAGAGAACTGTTCCAATTCCTTCTCTCTCATGGTCATGGACCATGCAGAGAAGGGGATCCGAACTCCTGACGACTTTACAGGCTGTATTCAGAGTGTCATATAGACACTCCAAACTCAGAAGTCGACGGTCTCCCTGTTGTCGGGGGAAGTACAACCGTGGAACTGATGATTTTGGATGCAAACTCCTATAGAGATATATAATTTTTCGGGTTTTTACTTCGGGTTGATACAGCTCCTCTCGATTCCACTTCACTACTCCAAACGAGTAGAGTAAGATTGGAACGGCAAGCATATTTGTTGCAGCAACTTTCTTCCTCCCCGACAGTTCTGAAGACCAGTTTGTGCCGCGGAGAGTTATTCACTGCTCTTACCTCTTGTGAGTGGCGTTGTTCCACCCCGAGGTAAGTATACGTCTCTTCGGCATCCAGATGTTGTAGGATGCTTCCATCTACGAGTTGCACATCCTCTCGGTAGTCCCTCCATCGCCCTCTTTTGAGATAGAGACTGATAGAGATCCTTCTCTCCAGAGGCATAAAGTTCAAGATCATCCACATAAAACAAATGGGTGACCTTGTGCCTCCGGTTTCTGGGGGTGCCATAGTTATACCCTCTAGTATTTCTGAGCGCAACGGATAATGGCAATAGTGAGATGCAGAAGAGAAGGAGAATCACCCTCAAATACACCCCTTGTGAAAGTGACCCACTCTGTTTGGATTTATCATCATCATTATCCCCATTTTCATTATTATATTTTTCAGCAACATCTGTTCAATGTTTCTCCTGCAGAAGTGTTGACAAAGGTTCGAAAGGTGACTGCTACTATGTAAGCAACGTAACAACCCCTATACAAGAATGTTTCTATGGCTGCTACCTGTATCAGTATACTGGTAAGTTTGTACCACTTGAAGTTCAACATTTTATAAACTGTATTATTTCATTATACTGTCATGAATAGTTGAACTGATTTATATTGAAAAAAAATATACACCCGTTACGAATATAGTGACCTTGTTGCACAAGAGACATTGTGCCAACATAATTACAACGTCGAAAACACGTTATTCATGGAAATGTGCCAAAAATGTTCCAAATGACTATTATTCATAAGAGGCTATTTCATATACAGGGTGTTTATTAAACATGCAGCAGAAATTCAAGGGACTATTCCCTGGACTATTCTGAGGATAATTCGTCCTTTTATGACATTTGGTAGGGCGCTTTGTTTCGAATATATGGAGCGAAAAAGAATTTCGACAATAAGAATGTGTTACCAAAAATAACTTGTAATGTTTCTTAATCCACAAAAACTCTTGAAAATGACTGAGGGGTAGTCATTTTCAACAGTTTTTGTGGATTAAGAAACGGATGCAAGAATCCAGTTTTCTCCTCATCGACTCCCGAACTCTTTCAAAAACACCAGGATCGTTTCTGATTGCGTTACACCCAGTAATTATCCGATTTCTCAAATCGTCCACAACTTTCACTGAACAAGTATAAACTAATGACTTTAGGAAATATAAACTGATGGCTTTAGGAAATGGAAATAATCCGGTGATCGACCAGGACGCAAGTGAGGTCAACCTCCACCAATCCAGAGATCTTCGTATATTTCTGTAAAAATTCCCGTGTCAACATGCTCAAATGCGCTGGTGCACCATCGTACATAAACCACACCGCATTTCTTATAACCAATGATACATCCTCTAGAAACCCCGGTAAGTCTTTCTGGCAGAAATACCCAATTGGGAAGTCACCTATAAATCCCACCCAAATGTTTAACGAGAATTGATGTTGAAAGCGATATTTAAGTACCTCATGTAGATTTCCATCAGCCCAAACATTATTGTGGAAATTCCTTATGAAATTTCTTTACAAACTGGCTTCATCGCTAAAAAGAGTGAGCGTCAGTAGTTGAGGGATTTGAACCTGCAGGAAGAAGTGCCTGAAGTCATTGTATGTGGTATGGGCACAATAAATAGTCTTCAAGAATGTTCCAAATCGAACCGTTACTTACATTTAAAGTATTTGCAATTTTTCGAGTAGGAGTACCTGGATCTTCTATCTTACAGTCATTGGCCTTCCTGGTCCTCCATTTCGCTTCAATGCTCCTGTTTCACGAAGTCGTTGATGAATACTTGAGAGGGTTTCTCTATTGGGCACATTATTATTAGGAAATCGTTCACTGTACAACCGCCTAGCTTCCAATAAATTGCCATCAGCAAGTCCATAAATGAAATGCATGTCAGCCATATCTGCCTTACTATATCCATTCATGATAGAGGATTTCACTATCAAGACATCAAATATTAAACACAGAAAATGCACGCCAAATAGACAAAGTCAATCAGTTTTAACCTATTCGACACATACAAATCATCACTTACGAGACATACTATTCAAATTGAATGTCTGCAGCTGTTTGAAATATTCAGAATGTTGTTGATAGGTACCAACGGAATTGCTAGATTTTGTATTACGTGGTAGGTCCAGTGTAGTACGCTATACTTTTATTTCGGCTACCTTAATAATTTTGAATTTAAAATTAACAAAATTGTTACGGTCGAAATTCTTTTTCGCCCTGTATCTTCGAAACAAAGCGCCCCAAAAAATCATCAAAGGACAAAATATCCTCAAAACAGTCCAAGGAATGGTCCCTTATTTTTTTGACGAATGTTTGATAAACACCCTGTATACATGTTTATCAAACTACTCGAATTCAATATTATGGTTTGTTAGTGCTTGTCTCTTGTTGGAGGATATAACTCATGTTGGACGAGAGCACAAATGTGGGTGGGTTGAGACGTAGAAAAAATCGCCTCTAGTAGAGATCAACAAATGCCTCTTTTTTAATCGACTTTCCCAAAGTGAATCAAGAAATGAAACACTACTCATTGAATCAAAAAACTCAGATAATGATGAAAACAATTTGCGTCCTATCTGTAAGTAAGTGAGATTTCATCATTCGAGTTTTGCTTTTGTTCGTCCTAGAACCGATTTCTGTTGAAATCGGCCGAAATGACCTCATATATTGCTCATAGAGGTTCTTCCGTAGATTCAGCTATTATAAGGCTTTTGATTCTGAGAAGACAACTTGCACTAGTATTTGAACTGATAACCTTCCATGATTTCCGTTGAAGAACAGCCAACAGAGAAGAGTTTATAATCGCACCTCACGACGTTTTCGGATCTTACACTTCAATAAAAATTTGGGCTCTTCAAATGAATAGAAAAATTTGCAATGATATTTATATCGAAATCTTCATGTGCATGACAAACAAGCATATTCAAAAATATCCTAGCAACTTTTGCGGGGAAAAATCCAAAAAACAGAAAAGTTTTTATAATTTGACGGTTGATGTTCGAACTGGGCCTCATGACAGGTTGCTTTGAGCTGTTTTTCTAAAGATTGTTCTTACTTTCATTACGGAGTAGCAGTATCGCAGAAAAATCTTTAGGCTCTTCTTTGAAGTACTAGATTATCAAGGTTGCTCGTGTTGCTTGGATCCCTAGAATTTAACAGCCTCGAGGTTTGGGAGTGACATTTCAGCATTATAACATGCTGAAGTGTGAAGAGCCTTCTGTTATTTCATTACTTCGATTGTGCCAAGAGACACTGGTATCCATTGTCACACAACAAATTGAGAGAGGCAATGCCAACGTTTATGGTACCCAGCATTGCCGATGAATATGCCCAGATTCTATTTTACGGAAACCAAAAACTGAAAAAGTGTTTCCCTTCTCAGGAGAAAATTCTAATAATATTTCAGAATTCAGTATTATTTATTATCAATATAATAGGATACATTCGATGCAATTGAAAATACCCTTTAGTTCTTGACTGCGTGAGTTGATGTACAAACTATACGAGGTCTGTTCAAAAAATAAAGTGAATGTTCAAATTTCATGGACGATTAGCGATATTTTTATGCGATATTCAAGGTTTCAGCTATTACATGTTCAATTTGTTGGTGAGTTAGAAGTGTTTTGCGTGTTCGACGATTTTCTGCTATCGAAAAATATTGATCAAATTTTGTGAAAAAATGGAATTGAATGCGCAAAAACACTTGAAATGTTGACAATGACATATAGTGATAATGATTCTACTTCATCATATGTTTCAAAAACAAATATTTTTTGTACATTTCTCATTAACGTATAATTCATTATAACATTAAAATCAGCAGTTCAAAAATAAATTCTCAAAACGCTCAAAGGTGCGAACTCGTTTCCTCCTTTTCATAAAAGAGGATGTATGCATCCTGACCAACGAAATCATCTACAATCTTAAAGTTATATGTACTCAAATGAATCAGCCATGACTCTTGTACCTCTCCGCTGTCGCTCAATTTTTCGTTACTCTCCGTTAAGGTCGGTTTAGGTTTCTCAATAAATATACCTATTAACGTCATCATGTACACCTTCTAAAAGATAACGAAGGAACTCCTTGGCGTCTTGATACGCATGACCCATGAATCGAGGGGCAAAACTCTGAATCTGACTTTTTAAGGAGACTGGTGTTCACTGCTCTATCAAATGAATCTTCTGACCACAATTCCTTGATAACTTCTGCGAAAGCTTTGATTAAAACACCCTCCGTACTAGAAATATTAGTATTGATATCTTTCATGTACTCATCATTTTTCAAATATTCCAGTAACCATCTCGTATTCGATGAACATTGGATTACACTGTTCATGAAACAGGTTGTTACGGGGGCAATTCCAGTGCTAGGTTACATTATTTCAATATGAACCTTCATCTACAATGAGATGAAAATGATTCTATAAATATCTGACACTATGCTGAATTATTGTTTCTTGACCAAAACCAGCCTGCTCACTCAGTGGTGTGGGCGTGGAAAATCTAAAGAAAAGAAATGTTATATAAAATAAAGGGGCGCCACCCGTTTAATATGGTTTTGTGTCGCCAAGAAACTTACTTAAACGGGAAAGAAATATAATCGACAATTATAAATAACAACCAATCATAAATAATCAACACTTAATGTCCAATAAAAAGACTTGATTTACTAGATATAATTTAACCAATACAAGTTGATAACTCTGGTGGATATTTGCATTAATCTCTCAACATATCATTCATATATGAATCTCCAAATATAGCTATAATTGGCTCACAAAATAAAACCCTTATTATTATAACATAAGAAAATATGGTCTCATATATTCATGTGATAATAATATTTTTATAATTAAGGAAGAGCCTGCACTGGTATTTCTTGGTTTTTGCACTATCGTAGCAGCAATCCCAGCGGCAGAAATTATAGATAAACAATGGAGAAATACTCGCTTACCGAACGTATCCTTCTTGCAATATTGTATAAAAAAAATACAAACCAAATAGTCCTCACGAATACCGATCCTAAGACAGTACTTCGGATCTTAGCTCGGCAGCTTAGCTCGGCAGCTTAGCTTCGACTACCGTCGAACAATAAATCGAAAGTGATCTGTGGTGCGTTCAAGAAAATGGAAAATCCAAAACTAGAATCCTCAATATTAGAGGGTTCTTTTACTCAATAGTAGGTTTTTAAAAGAAAATGATAAGACACAAAATTTCCTCCAGTAGAGTTCAGTGCATAAATCCATAAAGGGGAAATTTCAGGATTGGTATCAATTGGAGCATCAAACTAATTCCTATATGATGATTTATATCTGCAATAATCCTCAAATCGACAAAACTTTGTAACAATACCAAGTCGCTGATCTCCAGTACACTCACTTACTGACTGAATGTCCTATTTTCACCGTGCACCAATAATTTCAAAATTCGTGGGACGGGTGATCAACAAACCCATTCAAAAATAAATAAATATTTGTTGGAAGGATTCGAAGAGACGAGAGACAACACTTGACCGTTTCTCTGTTTT